AAAAAAAAGAAAGAAAAAGAGGCAGAAATATAGGTTAACGCTCACTATAATGTATCCTAATTTTTCCACATGATTATCAAGTTTCACAGATAGCCATAACCCAAAGGAAAAATCCTCAGAAATTACATAGGCTGAAGGCCAACATGCCAGTAGGTCCGTACGCATCATAATAATTAAAACAAATTTATAGTATCTCTTCCCTTCTGTCTCTCATTTGTCTGTATAAATCACATCTGAAAGTGGTTAGTATATCCAGACATACTCATCTTCCAAGTTTAGTCAGTGACTAAATTCACGTTCACTTTTGGAGTTTCAGTTTGGATGTTCCCATCGTCTTTGCCCTTGTTTCCACTGACCATTGATACCGTGGCTTCTGTCATTCACTGTTGACATGGTAACAGCATAGGGATCTAGGTTTCTGTGTCTGAAAAGAAATGACTTCTACTAGAAGAAACCCAGTTTTCCCTTCACAAACTAAAGAGCAAGACATTATCTAACAAACAAAATAAAAACCTATTTTTGTATCATTTCATTCCATTTAAAAAGTCCTCTACCTTTGCTGTCAAATCTCAAGACTCTGATGAAAACATGAAAAGATGTCAATTCTTTAGTTTACTGCCAAGATTAGACTCTGCTGGCTATAAATATATACATGGGTATTTTGATAAAGAATAACATAATAGAAATTTGCTATCAAGTGTTAATATCCCTTATGTACTACCCCTCCCAACAAGCCTCCTAATTCCCTGATTCTAAATAGAATTGCAGAAGTTCCCTAAAATTATCTGCTTTGAATTTACATTATAAGAGATGCAGAGACTGTGTCACCTCAAGATTCAGTTTATTACTATTATCTAGGATTTCAGATTATCCAAGTTTATTTCTTCTAATTTTATATAGATAATTAGAAGTTGATTCTTATATACAACTGAAGCCTAATAAACTCCAATATTTTCCTTCTAGTCCAAATTATAGTAATTATATATTTAGGAATAAACTAATCCAACCTTATTTTTAAAAGTCAATAAACCGAGTTCAGCAACATTTCACTACCCCAAATACCAATACAGGTTGAGTATCCCTTATCTGAAATGCTTGGGATTTTGAATTTTTTAGGATCTTGCAATATTTGCAGAATACACCACAATTGAGCATCCCCAATCCAAAAATCTGAAATCCAAAATGCTCCCATGCATATTTCTTTTGAGATGATGTTGGCAGTCAAAAAGTTTCAGATTTTGTAGCACTGCAGATTTTGGATTAGGGATGCTCAATCTGTACTACTAAGAAAATATAAGAAGAATAACCAGAATTGTTAACCTTACATACTAGTTATTGATGACAGCATATTTTTTTTAAACTTTTTTATTTTATTGAATCATAATTGATTATACATATTTTGGGGGCTCAATGTAGACATATGTTGATCAAATCAATATTACTAGTATGTATATTGTTACAAATTGTACTTTTTCTTTATGCCCCTTGTCCAATCTCTCCCATCCCCCTCTCTCTCCCACCACCTCCCTCTGATAACCGTAGATTCCTTCTTTCCCTCTGAAAGAGTAATGGATACTCTGTTGACTTGTTTCCTAGATGATCTGTCCAATGCTGAGAAGTGTGTTCAGGTCCCCCAATATTATCATAGAGCAGATGCTTCTTCTGTCACTCTGGAATGGGCTTTGTGGAAAGAGACATCCTCTTCTTTTCTTTGGTCTCTAATGGTGACTCTCCTTGTGTCGATGCACTCCAGTGGCTAGTGGACCATCTGCATGGTGGTTGTGACGTCTAGCTACTTTTGGAGCAGCTGTGGCTACTGCAGTGGCTGTGGTGGGCCACCCACATGGAGGTGACATTTTTGGCATGCTCCTTGGTGCTGGTGGTGTGCCTGGTTGTGGGAGGGGATCCAATCCCTGACTCCATGCCTCGAGCCCCCAGGGTGGGTCCCGAGGTGCTGGCAGTGTGCCTGATTGTGGGAGATGGGGTCTGGTCCTCGGCTCCATACCTCAGGCCCCCTGGCGGTCCAAAAGGCGTTGGTGTGCCTGGACCAGAACTAATTTTTTTGTCCTTTGCTTATTTCTAAAATGGGGGGCCTTCCTGTGGGAACTGGTATTTGAGCTGTGTGATTGAGCTAAATTGCTGTTTTGTGGCTATTTCCCTAGGGAAGGC